GAATAAATAAAATCTTTAAAAAAGAATCCAAAGAGGCTTATGCACCCCTATGTTCATTGCAGCATTATTTACTATAGCCAAGACATGGAAGCAACCCAAGTGTCCCTCGACTGATGATTGGATAAAGAAGATGTGGTATATATATACCATGGAATACTACTCAGCCATAAAAAAAGATAAAATCGTCACATTTGCAACAACATGGAGGGACCTGGAGGGTATTATGTTAAGCGAAATAAGCCAGAAAGAGAAAGACAAACGGTGCATGATTTCACTCATATGCGGAAGATAAACTAACACTTGGACAAAGAGAACAGTCTGGTAGTTAGCAGGGAACGAGGGAGTTGGGGGGATGGGCACAAGGGGTGAAGGGGTGCATTTAGATGGTGACTGACAAATAATGTACAAATAAAAGTTTGCAATGTTATAAACTATTATGACATCAATAAAAAAAATAAAAATAAACACCACTAACCTTAAGAAACATGGCCTTGTTTTCTTATATTACACTTCTGGCCCTATGTTTTCAATGAGTTTCTCCTGAGCAACAGAAATCCTGTGAATTTTATAATTTAGGAGAGAGTGAAATCAATTATAAAATTTATCACAGAACACAAGAGTTGTAAGAGGTACCCCAAAGTTCTCCTGCATTCCACACGTTAGCCAGTTTGTGCCGTAGGAACCCAATGTCTCCTTAATAGTCAAATTCAGTCACTCCAGTGAGTACAGTGACCTCCTTTTTTGCCTGTTGGCTTACTTGCCATGAGGAGCCCAAGATAGCCAGGTGACAGTCTCAACTTCTAGTTTAATGGAATCATTGGTGTATCCTCTAGTTGATTTTTATTTATTTTATGGATTCTTTTTTTTAATTGAGATATAATTAACATATAATATTGTATTAGTTTTAGGTGTGTAACATCATAATTTGATATATGTATATATTGTGAAATGATCACACAATAAGGTTAGTTTTAGTTTTAACATCCATCACCACATACAGTTACAAATTTGTTTTTTTCTTGTGATGAGAAATTTTAAGATTTACTCTCAGCAACTTTCAACTATACCATACAGTATTGTTAAATATAGTCACCATGCTATACATTACATCCCCAGAACTTATTTGTTTTATAACTGGAAGTTTACCTTTTGACCACAAAGTTATTCTCTGTATCTATGAATTTGGTTCTTTTATTTTATGTTTTTTGGGTTCCACATATAAGTGAGATGCAGTATTTATCTTTTCTCTGACTTATTTTACTTATCATAATGCCCTCAAGGTCCATCCATTGTTACAAATGGCAGGATTTCCTTCTTTTTTATGGCTGAATAATATTTCACTGTGTATACATATATACCAAAATATCTTTATCCACTCATTTGTTGATGGCCACTTAGGTTGTTTCCACATCTTGGCTATTGTAAATAATGCTGCTGTGAACATGGGGGTGCATATATCTTTTCAAGATAGTGATTTCACTTCCTTTGGATAAATAATCAGAAGTAGAATTGTTGGATCATATGGTAGTTCTATTTTTAATTTTTTGAGGAACCTCCATACTGTTTCCATAGTGGCTGCACCAATTTACATTCACACCAACAGTGCACAGGGTTCCCTTTTCTCCACATCCTCATCAACACTTGTTGTTTCTAGTCTTGTTGATAATAGCCATCCCAACAAGTGTGAGATGATATCTAATTGTTTTGATTTGCATTTCCCTGATTAGTGAGGTCGAACATTTTTTCATGTGCCTTTTGGCTCTGTGTATATATTCTTTGAAAAAATGTCTGTTCAGCTCCTCCACCCATTTTTCAATAGGATTGTTTGTTGTTTTGCTATTGAGTTGTATGACTTCTTTATATATTTTCATATTAGCCCCTTATCAGATATATGATTTGCAAACATTTTCTCTCATTCAGTAGATTGATTCTTGATTTTGTTAATGGTTTCCTTTGCTGTGCAGAGCTCTTTAGTTTGATGTAGGTTCACTTGTTTATTTTTTGCTTTTCTGCCTTTGCCTTTGGTGTCAAGTCCAAAAAATCATTGCCAAGACTGATATCAAGGAGCTTACCCCTTATGTTTTCTTCTAGGAATTTTATGGTTTCAGGTCTTACATTCAAGTCTTTTATCCATTTTCAGTTGATTTTTGTGTATGGTGTAAGGTAGTGGTTCAGTGTCATTCTTTTGCATGTAGTGGTCCAGTTTTTCCAACACCATTTATTGAAGAGACTGTCCTTTACCCATTGAGACTATAAAATCACACATGGACTTTTTACTAGCTCAGGCCATAATTGACATACTCCACTTCCACTTAAAATTTATTGGCCATAACTAGTAACAATAGCCCTGCCCAACTGCAAGTAAGCTGGGAAATGTGGAGTGTAGAGTGAGGAATATTTGGTGAGTGCTACTACCTCTGTCACAATCCACTTTTTTTTCCTGCAGCATGGTATAAATGTTATCAAAACTGTGTTGCAATTTTTCTATTTTTTTTAAACTTAATATATCATGGACATCTGACCTCATAAATACATATTCATTCATTCATTATTTATTTATTAAGCCCTTCTGTGTGTCATGCATTGTTCTAGGTACTGGGATACACCAATGAAGAAAACATTTGAAAATCTTTGCCTTCATGTAGTTTATT